GTGGGTGGGAGGGGGGAAGGGGGGCCCAAGGCACCTGTTTGGCCAGGGTGCGGACGCCAGTTCGGATCTCGTGGCCGAGCCCAGCCAGCGCGCCCTGTAGCTGGGCATGCAGTGTGTGCTGCAGCTGCTCCTGCGCCAGCACCGCGCTGACCCGCTGCTCCAGCGCCTCCCACCCCAGCTGGGCGGGCAGCCGGTCGATCACCAGTCGCAGCTGCTCCATGTCGTTCACCACCACACACAACTGGGGATGGGGCGGGGACACACCGCTGTAGGGCCTCCCAGGTGTGTGTGGGGGGCTGCACTCTGCACCAGGGCCCCGGCACCACCGGCCCTCACCATGTTGGCTGCCTGACCCTGGTCCTTCTGGACGGCAGAGAGCTCACGGGCCCGGGCCTTGATGAGGCTGCAGTACACCAGAGCCAGCCGACAGGTGTCCTAGAACAAGGAGGGGCAGAGGGCTGAATCAGTGGCTATGCGGCTTCCCTGTGGACAGGGGCAGTGATGTGGTCCTAGGGAGGGGGGTACACCAGGGAAAACGCAGTACCTCCACAAACTTGACAGTGATCATGAAGGCCTCCTCAGGGTCCGGCCAGTCCAGCTGCCGGGCCGTGTGGCTGATCTGGGCGAAGCAGGTGGATAGGTCCACGGCCGACGTGCTGTGCTTGGTCAGTTCTCCCAGCGGCACCAGCTGGCAGGGGTGGGGGTGGAGAGCTCAGGCTCCAGCCTAGTCTTGTTGCTCCTGCCCTGCAGCTGTGGGTCTCCTACCCCAGTGGCTTCTCAGGCACAAGACAAGGCTTCCTACTCATGTGGAGTGTTCAAGCTCAGAAACTCACACACTCGGTTCTGTAGGGTCCTATAGGGTCACTGTGAGTTGGTATCGACACCAAGGCAGTAAGGCTGTGTTTTTAGACAACTGCCAAGCAGTGCTTTAAAGGTAAGCCCAAGGACATCAAGAAGCAGAGATTTGCAAAGTGGGCTTCCCAGCTCCCAGAGGGGACAGCGAGCCCCCTTCCCACTAACGTGGCGCGATGGCACCTGGAACACAGGAAGGACCCCAACGGACACTGTCCTAGCGGCAACCCCGCCTCTAACCCCGCCCCGGACCTAGCCCCACCCCACCCCCACCTAGCTTGGCTCCACCCCCGTATCTCATTTCAGCCCGCCCCTACCTGGTCCATCTGCACCGCCCGCTGGACCCGCGCCAAGGCCACGCTGTAAGTCTTCTGCAACCAGGAAGGTATGGCCGGCCGGAACCAGCGGTGGAAGCCATCCAGAGCCAGGGCTCCATCCCTGTGGAGATCGGGGTTCGGTGGCATAAGGCGCAGGCCCGGGCCCCTCCCGGAGACCCTCCTCCACCCCGCAGCCTGCCTGCAGCCCACCTCTCCGAGGGGTTCGGGCCCAGCTGGCAGAACTCCTTGAGGCTGATGTATATCTGGAAAAGGCTCTCCCCCATCTCTGGGGACACCTGGCTGCCCACCGTCACCGTGTGGTCCTGCACCCGCTTGGCCACCAGCCACTGCAGCTCCAGGAAGGCCGTGGAGAAGAGGTCGACCTTGAGGGTGCTGGAGGAAAGGCAGTGCTGGGACCCAGTGCCACCCGCCCCTGGCCCGAGGCCCCTGCCCTGAGCTGCCTGGCCCGTCCCCACTCACTTGTGGAAGATCTTGTTCCAGGTGCGCTGGCACTGGTGGAGATCACCGGTGACATCCTGTACCAGGCTCAGCAAGGCCTTGCCAGCCTCCAGCAGGCCCTGGCAGGCACAGAGGCAGCTGAGCAGGGCTGTGGGCACAGCCACCCCCACTGGCCCATCCCCACCCCTGCACGACTGCCCCAACCTCCCACTCCCCATTGATTCCCACCCCTGTACATAGCCTCAGCTTCCCTCCCCATCCCTGCATGTCTGCCCTGGCTACCTACCCCGCAATTCCCACCCCTACACACCTGCCTCAGATCCCCAGCCCCACTCCTACACACCTGCCTCAGATCCCCAGCCCCACTCCTACACACCTACCCTAGTTCCCCAGCCACACCCTTACATGCCTGCCCCAGATCACCCACACCCCACAAGTCTACCCCAACTCCACAGGCCACCCCTCACCTGTACCATGGGCTGATGGTGCTGCTGTTTCAGGTGGAACCACTCCACGGTGCCAGTCTACAGCAGGAGACAGTGGGAGGGGGTCATGGAGGGGCTGCCAGCCCCAGGCCCTCCCTCTGGCAGTCCCCAGGGTGGGTACCATACCCGCAGGGCCTCCGTCACCAGATGGGGCAGCGGGGCACTGTCAACACACAGCTCTCCAAAGGCTTTCATCTTACACATCTGAACCAGAACCCTGCAGAGGCAGACACCCTGACCTGCACACCTGCTGCCCCTTCCACCCCACCTGCCTGCGGACTCCCCCACCCCCTGCTGCCCCTTCCACCCTACCCGCCTGCAGACTCCCCCACCCAGGGAGGAAAGCAGGGTCACGAAGCCCCTGACCTGAGGAGAGACTGCAGCCGGCCCAGAGAATCAGCGACGGAGAGCGGGAAGACGGAGCGGAACCTCCGGATGAGGGAGAGGCCATAGGCCAGCAGGGAGCGGAACGAGGCGGCCAGCTCCTCAAGCTGCCGCAGAGATGTCCTGTGACCATGGGGCTGGCTCGGGGGGACCCAGATGGCTGCCCCGAGCCGGCCTGCCCAGCCCTCCTCACCCCCCCTCCCTGCCCCCAGCCAACCTGTTCTTCCTTGAGCCGACCCTGGATCCACTGGTACTCGATGCTGGTGATGGGGTGCAGGAGGCAGCTGCTGGGGAACTCTAGGCTCTGGTAGAGGCGGCTGTAGGCCAGCCACTGCCTGCAGCGGACAGGACAGGGTACTCTCAGGGCCTCCTGCCCAGCGCCCCGCCCATGCCCTCTCCTCCCGTGCACCAGCTGCCTTTCTGCCTGGGACGGAGGGTGCTGGAGGCACGATGAGACAGGAGGGGCAGTAGCAGATGGGCCAAAAGGTGGCCCCGCAACACCCCTGCCAACGTTCTTTGATAATACAGAAATTTAGACCTGGGCCTAGTGGAGCCCTGCTGATGTAGTGGTTACGGGTGGGTTGTGACCTTCATGATTGGCAGTTTGAAACCACCAGCAGCTCCTTGGGAGAAAGACTGGGCTTTCTACTCCTGTTGACAGTTACAGTCTTGGAAACCCAAGAGGGGGTGCTGTGAGTCAGCACTGACTCCATGGCAGCGAGCGAGCGAGACCTGGGTATAAGCCCTGCTTTTGCTATCTTGGGACCCAGGAGACCCTCAAGAGCTAGTCTTCAGCTGCCTGCTGGTCGAGGCTGCCCCTACCCCCACCCACCGCAGGGGGCAGGTGAGTAAACAAACACACACACACACACACACATCTGCCTGGTGGTTGGAGCAGGGCTTTGCACTCACGCCATGGACTGGTGGAAGTCGGACAGGTCCTTCTGCATGGCGTGGAGGAAGAGGATGGTGGCAGCCTGGGGACTCAGTGACCCGTCCCAGGAGGTACTGCCTGCCTGGGGAAGGAAGACAAGACCGGCCAAGGGTGTCAGACCTGACAGCAGCTGCCCTGGCCCTGTGCAGGCCGGGAGGGCAGTACCTGGTGCTTGGTGACCTCGTGGGACACGAGCTGCTGCAGGAGGTGGAGGTGTACCCTGTAGCTGGGCTGGGAACGGCTGGCCCTGGTGGCTCTCTGCAGGGGACAAGCAGAGCTGTGAGCAGGGAGGACCACCGCCCACCCAGCCCCAGCCCCCTGGGGCTCTTCCACACATTGCAGGCCTACCCGCTTGTGGATGAACTGGAATTGGAGGTGGCACTGGCCGCGGTCTGGGTAGGTCTCGGTGCAGGGCTCCAGAGGGTACCATCGGTCCTCCCGACAGCGCAAGTCCTGGGGCCAGGGGTGAGAGGGCAGGAGGGCAGCATGGGAAGCTGATTCCAATTTCCACCACTCTCACCACCCAGCCCAGCACCCACTCCCGATTCACTCACCTGCAGCCTCAGGACCAGGTTCCCCAGAAAGTCATCCTGGCCTTTGTCCTTCCGCACCTCCTTAAGGATCCTGCCGAGGGGTGGAGGTCAGGAGAGCCTTCCGGCTGGGCGTCTGTGCAGAAGGCACCCGCCTCCTCCTCTCCTCCCTGCCAGGGCTCACCTGCGCAGGCCATGAAGGTCGGCCAGCTCCCCCAGCTTCTGCCGCACAGACTCCACCGTGTCCAGGTCCCTGGTGGACAGGGGCTTGAGCCGGAGGCAGGGTGGCCATTCCCAGTGCCCGCTACCCTGGTCCCCGACCCGCTTCTCCTCCCGATCCCTGGACTGCACTCACCACATGTCCAAGCGGAAGCTGGCCGTGGCTATGTCCTTGAACTCACTGCAAGGAGAAGGGTGCTCACCCCCACCCCGGCCAGGCCACATGCTCCCCCACCCAGAACTGCCCTCCCAGGCTCCCCACTGGAGTCAAGCTGCCCCTGCCCCACCTCCCACCCAAGCGGCACCCTCCCTCCTTTAAGCCAACACTCAGACGCCCTGCCTGCCCAGCCTGAGTGTCCTGTCGGCCAGCCGTCTACTCAGCTTGGAGATCAGGTGTGCCTTGGCCTGGCCGAAAGCCCACCCTGAGGGCAGCCCTGGGTGACCTACAGGATGAAGGTCTCCTCCCAGACGGGGTTGAGCGTCTGGGCGATGGTCTGTGTGCGGTGCGTCTGGTCCTCAGGGATGGTGTCCCTCACCACGGCCTTCTGTCGCCGGCGCACCCCAGGGCTGCCCCCGGGCGCGCCCACCCCCTGGTCGATGCCCAGCAAGCAGTAGGGGTCGCTTAACCCTGGGGAGGAGGGGAGGTTGAGGCAGACCAGGGGTCAGCAGTGCTGGCTTGGAGAGGCAGTCCCTCTTTGACCTCCGCCCCCTCCTCCCCGCCACCCCCCCAGCCCAGGGCTGAGCCTTCTGCAGGGAAAGGTATGGCAGGAGGGTGGGCCTCTCCTCTTCCCAGACTGTAGTCCAAGGGGTTGAGATGACTTGGGGGGGCGGAGGCACCCGAGGGCCACACCCTCCACCACTCACCGCTGACGTCCTTGCCCAGAATGCCCTTGGCTTGCTTCACGGTGGCCTTCAGAAAGAACATCGGCTTCTGGAGGGGCAAAAGGAAGGGGGCTCTGAGTCCCTGAGGGGCTTGGCCTCCTAAGGTGCCTGCCGTCCCCCAGCCTGCTCACCTCCAGCTCCCGGGCCTGCTGCAGCATCTGCCGGTGCTCCTGGGGCGACAGCTGGAAGGCCTGTAGGGAGCTCAGGCTGGTGGGTGTCAGTGGGCAGCAGCAGGGTGGGGGGTTGGGGCCTAGGGCAGGCTGGTGAGTGTCTGTGGGCAGCGGGGTGTGGGGTGTGGGCTGGGCAGGCTGGTGGGTGTCCGTGGGCAGCGGGGCACGGGTGTGGACTGGGGCAGGCGTACCTCCTGCAGGTAGCGGAGCAGCTCGGAGACCTCCATCACATGGTTGGGCTCCGGCTGGCCCAGGCGGTGCAGGATGGTGTAGAGAGCTTCCTCATACAGCAGGGCACGCTGAGATGGACGGACAAGGTGACCGCAGGGCCCACCCATCCACGGTGGGCGCTTTGTCCCTAACCACCCTGGCACCAAGTCCTCACTCCCTGCGGGGCCACTGCCAGCAGCTGGGAGGGGGACATTGCTGAGGACAGTGGAGGCCCACCCTAGGACGTCTTCACCGCCCCCCCCAACACCCCACCTCTTACCTCCTCAGGGGAGAAGTGGTGAGATGGAGACTCTACCTGGGGTGGGGAGGGGGGCGAGGAAATCCAGAGTCACAGAGGGTCTGGCCCGGGCCCCACAGGCAGGAACACCACCTCAGAGGCCGGGCCCTGGGAGTAGCTGAAGCCCCAGCCTCCAGCCTCAGCTCCCCAGGGTCCCGCACCTGCTCCCACAGCAGCCCGCCCAGGGGTCCATCCTGTGGGCTGGCCGCTTCGTCCCCTGGCCTGTCGGGGCTGGGGTCCATTGGTGCTCAGTGCCCCCAGTGTCAGGGCCCTATCCTCGCCATCCCCCACCCCCCATCCCCTCCCTGGCTCCTTCCTGCCCCAGAGGAAGCGGCGCTGCTTATCGGCTGAGAGCTGCGCGCCCCTGGCGGAAGTGAGGCCCAGCGGCAGAGGTGGGAGCCTGGGGCCTCCAGCTGATGTCCACGCCACAGCCCACCCTGCCGCCGGAGCGCCTGCCTCCTTGTGGAACCAGCACTGCTGACCAAGGAGAGGTCACCATGCCACAGGGAGGGGGCAGAGGGGCTCAGGCCCCTGACCTGGGATGGGGGCCACCCAGGGGACACGTGCCCCACCCTGTTCCCAGGCTGACTCAAAGGCTCTGTTCAGGGCAGGGCAGGAGGGGCGGTGGGTGGGGAACTAGGGGTTAGGTCCTCAGCTTCAGCCCCAGCCTTCTAAAGGTCGGGGCTGGCCAGTCAGAGGCTTCTGCACCCCAAGACTGCAGAGCCCCACCCGGCTCGCTCTTCCCGCTGTGGGCAGGCACAGGCGGCCACTCCTACCTGGAGGGCCCTCTGGGGTGGGGGGTCCTGTAAGTCTTGGGCTTTGCGGCGTCTTATCTTGATGGCTTGGCGCAAGAGGGGCGGGCGCCGCTGGGGTTGGGAGTGGGGTGTCGCCATGGTGGCTGGCTCTGCCCTGGGCCACCCAGAGGACGAGAAGCCGCAGGGTTATGAAAGGGCTCTCGCTGCTGCCACCTCTGCCCGCCGGGCGGGGCCGGCTGCTCTGCCCAAGAGGGCGGGCACGCGATGGCAGCCGAGGCTCCCCACACACAGCAGGGTCGGTTGGTCTGTTGGGGACTGCTGGCCTTCCTCCTGCTGGGATGATCCTGCTGGGATGTCTGGCAGGAGAAGGTGGACCTTTGAGGCGGGGCCGCTCCACCCCTCCCATGAAGCCCTGGGCAGGGCCCAGTGCACCCACCAGGGGGAGCCAGGGGCCTCTGGGCAGCCCACCAGAGCTGGACTGGGCAGCTCTCCCAGAATGAGGGCCCCCTGGGGTGGAGACACCTGGGGGCTCTGGAGAGGCATAGCCCCAAGCAGGAGACAAGCAGGCCCGCCCCACCCTACAGGTGACATTCCTTCAAGGTGAGGTGTCACTTCAAGGACCGGCTGAGCAGGGCCCAGGCCCACCCCCACCCCTACCCTCTGGTCAGGAGGGTGGCTCCTTTCAGATGCCCTTGTAGGCAAGTGGTCCTGGGCAGGCCTGTGCCCAGGGGAAAGGGCAGGCGGCCATGGGCATCTCCTCCTTCCCCAGAGGGCAGCTAGACCCAGGAAACTTGAGTGTGCTCAGGGGATTTGTCCCACCCTCCCCTGTCCCAGGCACGAGGTCCATGTGGGTGGTTTGAAGGCAAGTTGCTCAAGGGCCAGTACTCGAGCCCAGACACATTCTGGATGGCGTCAGCTGCCGCCTAAGGGTGGGCTGCGCTTCTGCAAGGAAACTGCTGGCCTCCCACAGCCTCCTGTCCGGCCACTCCCCCAGCTTGGTAAGGACGGCATCTCGCTCTAGCCAGGCCCAGGGGACTCTGGGTGGGGCTTGATTGCCAAACTACTGTGAGAATGGGGACAGAAGGCGGAGGCCCTGGCTTTGTGGGATCAGATGGGGTGGAGAACAAGGGGCTCCCCAGGGAGGGGGAGGAGGGAGCCACCACCACCCTTGCTTCAGCAGCCAGACCACCCGGCTCCCCCTGCCTGCCTCCCTCCCCACAGAGCCCGGGAGGGCCTTCACTTGTTCCATGACTTCACGTTCTCGGGAGAAAATCAAGGTGCAATCAGGGTTTATTTCACATTCATATATTAGCTGGGTGTTTGTCAAATAAATAGGGAGTCCTCTTTAGGTAGCCCACCCTCTTCTCGATAGTGTACTTTAGTGCAGTGGGGATGAGTCACTGACTGGGCAGGCACAGGGGAGGGGAGTGGAGGGCAGGGGCTGGCAGCAGGCGCAGGCCAAGCATGGCTTAGGGTCAGAGGGGGCCTTCACGCAGCACCCAGGGCCGCGATGGCATAAACATGGCCCCTCCAGTTCCCGTCCCAGAGGCCCCTCTGGAGGGAGAGATGGAAAAGGAGAGAGCGGCCTCTCCAAGGCCTGGCACCCGAGCCCTGCCAGCTCCTGGTGAAATTCCAAGTCACTCGGAGGTGGCAAGAGTGCCCAAAGCCAGGGAAGGAAGGTGGTACGGCCAGGGTAGGGCCGGGCTGGATGTGGAATGTGAGCTGAGTGTGGGCCGGCCGGTCTGGGCAGAGCGGGCACAGGGAATGGGGGCGGTGTGGGCAGGAGCCCCTCAGGAAGGGGCTGGGCTCCCTCCCTGGCCAGGAAGACACAGCTGGTCTCAGAAGGTCGGAGATCGGAGCCAGCTGATGTCAAGCCGCTACCGGGAGGAGGGGCTGGACTGGGATGGGTGGAGGAGGTGGCCGGAGTCCCTCCCTGGGGAGATGCTATTTGAGTGAAACAGGAACCAGGGGACAGCCGACTTCCTGAGGCAGGCAAGCCGGGAGGCACCTCTCCACAGACAAGGGTCCCCTCCCCGGTGCCGGTTCCTGCTGTTTATCAGCTGCCCTGCAGGAAGGACCAGGGCCTCCCCACGCCTCCCCCAGCCCCAGGGGAGGGTAGGAGTTGTGGGAGGTGGAGCGCAGGAGGGGTCTACTGGGTCTTCTTGTCTTCCGGAGGGTAGTAGGGAGGGGGTGGAGCCTGGTTCGAAGGAGGAAGAGAGGGCTCACGTTAGAAGGATCAAAACAAGAAGGAGGGGCAGCCCCCTGACCCCCCCAGGCACACTCACCGTGGGCATGTAGACATTGTGGGGGTTGCCCGGGTTGTAGTAGGCGCTGGCGGCTGCTTCGGCGGCCTTGGCTTCGGCTGCAGGAGAGTAGCACAGGTGGGCAGATGGCCCAGGCAAGCCCCTCCCTGCCCTCCTTGGCCAGCTTGGCTCAGCCCAGGCTGTGGGGCTGGGCCCAGACTCTGGCCTCTTGCTGCTCAGGGCCCTGCCCCGCCCCTCCAAGGGGGGAATTGCCAAACCACCTGTGATGGTGGATCGGCTGACTCAGCGGCAGCCCGGTGCATTGGAGAACAGGCTCCACCCAGGCCCTAATGGCTGCCTTGCTCAGAAACAGGACTGCTGGTCTCCTTGTCAAGACAGCTCTGGGAGGACCGGAACCTCTAACGGTCTGGCCAGAGTTAACGGCCTGCCCCGCCCAGAGGCTCTGTCCACGAAGACTGAGTTGGGGTGGGGTGAGGTGCTGGCCAGCTGGGGACAGGGGAATGGAGGCTAGGACCCTAGTCTGCCTCTTCTCCTATGGGCCCTTCCTGAAGCTTAGCAAAGCCCCTAGACCCCGCAGGGGTCGCTCGTGGCAGGGACTCTGGCCAGCCTCCTGGAGGGGCTCATGGGCCCGCCCCCAAGGACCTTACCTGCAGAAGTGGAGGGGGCGTCAGGGCCGCTGACCGGAGGCTCCATGGGTCCAGGATAGGGCGGGGGCGGGGGCTGCACGTACCCCATGGCCCCGTCCATCATGGGGGGTCCTGGATAGAACTCTGCTCAACAAGAGAATGATGGGGACCCAGTGAGTATCCAGCCCCGAGCCCCAAGGAAAGTGGTCACCCGAGGCCTGGCCGCCGCCTGTCTCCATCACTCCTGAAACAGGCTAACATGCCTGGCTGGGGACGGGACCCTGGGTGGGTGGGGCACAGGGTGGGCAACACAGGACACTCACCAGGTGGGGGCGGTGGGTAGGGGTAGCCGGGAGGGCAAGGGTACATTCCATTGGCGACGGGCGGGGGAAAGACATAGGCCCCGCTGGGCATGTATGAGTACCCATAGGCTCCACTGGGGGCTTCACCTCGGGAGGCTATAAGCACAAGGGAGAGACAGGTGAGCCTGCGGCCTTGGGCGGGCCAGGGCTGCAAGACCCACCCCTCTACATCTGCATCAGCCTAGGTAGGGTGGGTTTGTGCAGGAGTGAGGAGTGTATAGAGGGGTCTATGCAGGGGTGGTAGTGTACAGAGGGGTCTGTGCAGGGGTGGGGGTGGATGGAGGGGTCTGTGCAGGGGTGGTAGTGTACAGAGGGGTCTGTGCAGGGGTGGGAGTGGACGGAGAGGTCTGTGCAGGGGTGGGGGTGTACAGAGGGGTCTGTGCAGGGGTGGGGTGGGTGGAGGGGAGCAGGACTCAGATAGGGTAGAGGCAGAGCTGGGTGAGGGTGGGACTTAGTAGGGTGTCTGCTGAGGTGTCAGGTGGTAGTATTTAAAAAGTGCTGGTTTGTTTACTGCTCGTGTGCTTTGTTCACTTGTAATAGGCTGGTTAAAATGACCTTTTGTTTACGTAGCTGTGTTGAAACGCCCTAAACCTGCCCCAGGAAGGGTGGGGTAGGGGCCCTTTGGAGGAAAGGCAGAGAGAGCTCCTTCCCCATGGCCCTGGGCAGCCCAGTGCCAGAGACTTAGTCCTCAAATGCTTGAAAAACAAAACAAAGAATCAACAAACTCACACCAACAAATAACCAGTGCACATCAGCCCTGGCTGGCAGAGCCTCCCTACCTTGTGAGGCCACTTGAAGCATCCGCTGTCCAAACTCGATGGCGCCCCCTGCTGTGAAGGTGAGCTTGTAGGAAGCAGAACCTTCCCAGCCACCTGAGGGGAGAACCAGGGACAAGCAGTTCAGAAAAAGAAAGCCCCTTCTGTCGAGCTTCAGCCTGAGTCCCCACACAAGGAGCGCTGGGGCCCTACCAACCACTAGGTCATTAGTTTGAATCCACCAGCCACTCTGCGGGAGAAAGGTAGGCTTTCTACTCCGGGAGAGAGCTGCCGTTTCTGAAACCCACAGGGGCAGGTCTACCCTGTCTGACGGGGTTGCTGTGCGTCGGAATCACCTTGATGGCAGTCGGTTTGATCTGGTGAGGGAGGGCCCCACCTCAGGAGCCCCAGTGGGGTAATGGTCACACGTGTGGCTGCTAACTGCGAAGTCAGGGTCTGAAACAACAGCTGCTACGTGGGAGAAACACGGGCCTTTCCTCTGCTGGTAAAGCCACTCTCGGGCTCACAAGGGCAGGTCCACCCTGTCCTACAGGGTCATGAGGTTTTTACCTAGGCCCCCACCCATCACCTACAGGCTGCTGGGAGAGGCCAGTTCAGAGGGTGGGATTTGATTGGGGCTTCTCCCATCCTCCTCCTGCAGGCCTCACACCTTCTGGTTTGTGCCCTCCCACCCCCGCTCCTGGGCAACCCCCGTGCCCAGGTCCCATGTCAAGGGGATTCTTGGCACTTTCTGGGAAGGAGTTTTAGGGGAACAGGCAGTAGTCAGTACAGCTGGCACTCAAGCTACCATTAACCTCTCAGCCAGCCTAGCTGCTGCCCGAGGGGAGACCACGAGCCACCCCACCCCCACCGGCAAGGCTTGGCCCAGCCGGTGTACAGGGCGGTGAGTCTGATGTGCCCAGGTCTCGGGCGACTGCTTGTCACCAAGGGGCAGTTAGTCGCCTTTCCCTGCTCTCCAGAAAAACCTTTCCCAAGACCAGGGCCCTGTTTCTTCTGCGTCTTAAGACATGAAGAGGCGCCCAGGACACAGTGGGCCTCTGGGCTGCACAGTCAGCCTCTCTGCCAATTTCTCAGGCTGGATCCCAAGGCCGTTTTCCCGAGTTCCAGGGCCACCAAACCGCAGCTCTGCTGACCAGCCGACAGCCCCATGCGGGTCTTGGCAGTTAAGAGAAATCTATAAGGGCACAGCCTGGTGGCGAGGGTCTCCAGAGGAGGCCCCCTGGGCATCCCTGCAGGGAGCTCCCACTGGGTCCCCCTCTTCTCCTCCGTCAGTCACTCACCTCCTGCTTCGGCCTTTACCGTGCCCGTGATGTAGTTCGCACCAAACACCGGCTGCTTGATCTCACAGCCCTTCATCAGGTAGAAGGGCATCATGAAGGACTGCATGGCGTCCTTTCCCCTGGACAGAAAGATGACCTGCAGGGACACAGGGCGGGCCCTCACCACCCAGAGCCAAGCGCATGCAGCGGTCACCTCCTGCCTGCTTCCTGCGTGGGGGAGCCAGGTGCCAGCCCGGTGGCCTGAGCTGAGCCGCAGGCAGCTTCTGAAAAAGGGCTCTCGTGGCCAGCTGGAGAGAGACACGGCGCTGGCAGCACCTGCTGCCTGAGCACCAGGCTCTGCGGTTTCGGTGGCAATGAGGACCTGGGGGAGGTGGTGTCCATGTCTGTAGGGTCCAGGGGAGGCCAGGCAGAAGCCAGACCTGGACTCCTGAAGAGGCCAGTGTCTAGCCTGTGTCCCTTATAGATGAGATCAATAGAGCGGGAGGGGTGTGTGGTGCCGGATGCCCGGAGATGGCTTTACCTGGCCCAGAGCGGGCCGCTCTGCCCAAGCAGTAGCTCCATCACCTGGTTCTAACCCATGACTGAAGAGGCCAACTCCCACCCAAGGGGGGCTTTGTGACACCCTGCCTCTCTAAGTCTAGCTCCAGGGAGCATGCTCTGGACACCTCGCCATGGAGAGGGGACCTCGCTGGCCCGCCACAGGGGGCACTGCTCATGCTGCTGGGTCCCGCCTGCCACACTGGCCCCAGGGCCACTCTTAGAGAAGCCAACATAATGGAGACTCTCAACTGCGGGCCTAGGTCACCAGCAGCCAGGTCAGCTGCAAGAGGCTGGGCACTCTAGAATCTTCTCAAATCTAGGAGCATGTGACTGAGAAAGACAAGAGTCGGGGCTCAGGATACCTGACCCAAGAGGCGGACGTGGGTCTGAAACTCACCCCCACCTCTGAAGGCAACAAGTCTCAAAGATCAAGGGGCCCTCCGTGTGACTCACCCTGTACGGGGTCAGGTAGACACTGCCTTTCTTGGTCCCTTTGAAGGCCTCGGGCACATTCTTCATGTCACTGAATGCAAGTTCCACATGCTCATAGGACATCAGGATGCTGTGACAAGAGGGACAAGCTGTGTTGACACTGCTGGGAGATGGGACCTGGATCCTAGGGGACTCCCCGTCAGGCGCAGCAACCAGGCACCTTCTCATGTAACCACAGCCAGCCAGCCAGCCATATGGCAGCCTCGACCTACAGGGCCCGCTGGGCTTCTGCAGCATCTCCCCCAGAGGCCACTTACACTGGGCTTCCGTGAGCAGTGCCGTGGGGGAGCTACCGGCCAGGGGATGCCCTCAGCCCTCCAGAGCCAGGCTGGGTTACCTGGGTTAATGCTTCTACTTTGCACCAGGTGCCAGGTGCTTTTTCCGGTCTCATTTTTGAATCCTATGTCTAACAGTTATAAGACACTTTCCTCAGGGTTCCTCAAAACGGGGATTCTTAACCTGGTTCTGCCTGGGTCCCATCAGGAAACCCTGGGAGGACCATGTCTGAGGGGTTTCAAAGAGCTCGTGGACATACGGAATGAAAAGATCACAGCATTCTTCCCAGGGTCTGCGAAGCCCTCTCATATAGCCACCGTTCTGGGAGGAGGCCACAGCTCTTGTCACCCTGGAATAGGCACAGGACTAGAAGATGAAGACGATTTTAAATATACAGGGTCCTGGTGGCGCTGCGGGATAAGCGTTGTGCTGCTAACTCCAAGGTCGGTGGTTCAAAATCCACCAGAGGTAACACAGGCGAACAAGGAGGCTGTCTGCTCCAGTCATGATTTACAGTCTCAGAAATTCTATGTGAGTCAGAATCAACTCAATGGCAATAGGTTTGGTCTTTTTGGTTTTTAAGGAATTGTGTATTTCAAACACAGGCGTCCCTGGGTGGCACAAATGTCAAACATTCTTGCTTGGCTGCTAAGGACAGGGTGGGAGGCTTGAGTCCACTTGAGGCATCTTGGGAGAAATGCCCAGATATCCACTGCTGAGAAATCCACCACTGAGCGACCCTTGGTGCCAGGTCTCCTCTGACCACATGGGTCATCCTGAGTCCGTTTGAACTCCATGACAACGGTTTGGTTTATTTAAAACACTGGCTTGAAATGTGACTGTCACATGGATTTTTTCCCCCTACACCCCCAGAAAAGAGGCTGAAGAATTTTCTCTATAAAATGCCACCAGGCATACCCTTCTTGAATAGTCACATGGATCCCTGAGCCAGGTAGGAGGACCTTCAGGATAGATTGCTGTCTCAGGAAGGCATGGCTAAGAGAGAGAGAAAAAGTGGCCCCAGGAAACACTACCAAAGGGCTCAGGAAGTATTTGGTCAGAGACAGGAGCTGGCTGGGACAGACAGGCTACAAACCAGTCATGTGAGGTTCCTCTAATGGCAAGAAAAGAAGGTCCAAGTTCCTGGGCTCCATTCACCCCTGTCTTCTCATAACCTTCTTGACTTTGGGAGAGGGACGTTGGCAAAGAGACTTGGGACCAGAAAAGGCCAGCTCAGGGAAGAGAGGCTGTGTCAGACGTGGGTAGAGGAGACGGAAGCCCAACTTCAGGCTAAGCGCCTCCTCTGACTCATCCAGCTGGCTCAGGTGACAGGTCACAGGCTGGTTGCTGCCCTTCGCTGGCTGCAAGGCACGTCTCCTCTGAGGTCACAGATTCCTATGGTCCCTGACTCAGAAGCCCTCCAGGGCTGCTGATCCAGTTCTCAACGGCTAAGGGCTCCAGGAGGAGAGGAAGGAAGATCTTCAAGGAGATCTCTGGGTTGTGGAATGACCCAAGTCAGCTGTCATTCAAGAGCAAGGGGGCGAGGGACCCCTTTACAAGAGTAGGCACTGTGCCAATCTCGTTACCTATTCATTCGACCTCTGTCCGGAGCCCTGACTTCTCACCTGGGAACTAAGTCGTTCTGGAATACATTGAAAAACTTCATCCTGTAGCTAAGCCTACTGACTTGGGGTCTGGGCTCTTGGTACCCTCATCTTTTACAGTTGGGGCACTATCTACCCCACAGAATTAAAAACCAAATCCACCGCCATCCAGTGCGTTCTGACGCACAGCCACCCCACAGAGGGGTCCCAAGATTGCAAATCTTTACCGGAACTGGAAGCGCTAGCTCTCTCCAGCTGAGCGGCTGGTGGGTTTAGAACCACCCAGCCTACGCCTAAGCCAGAGTGCCGCCGGACAGTGCCCAGCGTGTCCTAAAACCTCACTGGTGTCGTGGGCTGCTAAAGAGCTCGCGGGTTCGAATCCAGCAGACGCTGCCCGCACTGGGGAAGGTTTAGAGCAAACTGCAAAGACCACGTCCACCGGCGCCCTCCGAGCAA